TGTGTGTGTGTGTGTGTGTGTGTGGTTCAAGTGAGAGATACCTGTGTGTGTGTGTGTGTTTGTGTGTGCGTGTGTTTGTGTTTGTGCGTGTGTGTGTGTGAGACAGAGAGAGAGAGAGATAGAGAGAGAGAGAGACATACCTGTGTGTGGTTCAGGTGAGACAGAGCAGATGCCCTGTTTCGAATCTCAGACTGGGCGTTCTTGAACGCAGGCTGTTGTTTGGAGTTTTCAAGGCTGTCAACCCATTTAGCTCAGTGTGCCCTATCGGAGAGGGAAGTCAAATTTGGAGCTCCTGCCTCTTAAAGGTCCTAATGATGTTGATAATTGTAATATGATATCTGTGTTAGTCTTAGTTAAGGGAAATAATAATTGCTTTTTTCTACATTATGTCTTTGGTCTTCAATGTTAATGAGTTGGGAAGACGGGTCGCTCCATGCTTCCTCACCCCTCTTCATGAGGGTCCATTTCATGAGGGTCCATTTCAGTGTTGCACATTTCATTTCGGCATTTATTTGACCTTACTGTGTTGCGAGTGCCGTAAAACACGTATACTACAACCAATCAAACTTACTGTTGTGTTCCTATCAAACACCTATCGTCCTTATCTCTCCCCCCCCTCCTTCTTTTTTATGTTTGTTACTCTCTTGTAACACCTCTAATCTTCTGGCGCTCATATGACCTTATGCAGTTGCAGTTGTGTGTGTGTTTAGCGTGCATGTATGTTCACATGTGTGCGTGTAATGTGTGCGTAAGAGTGTGTGTGTGTGTGTGTGTGTCGCGTGCGTGAATATTGTTCGTACATGCTTTTATGTAAAGCGCCTAGAGCTGTGTTTTCACGGGAGTGGGCGCTGTAGAAATCATCTTCATTATTATTATTATCATTAAGCACTGTAAACCCTCTACTGTGGGTGGTTGGCGGGTGCTCTGGTGTGGTTTGCTTCTTCTTTCCTATCAAACGTCTATCGTCCTGATCTCTCCTCCTCCTTCTATTTTGTGTTTGTTACTCTCTTGTAACACCTCTAATCTTCGGCACTTATATGACCTTATTGTGTTGCAAGGGCCGTAAAGCTCTTACTAAAACTAAAAACTTCCTGTGGTCTATTCCCCCCCCACAGACTGGTGTCGCAGGCGGTGATCAACGCGTACGCCAACATCGCGGCCAACATGGTCGGGGAGGCGGAGCAGATGGACCTGCTGTCTCGGCTGTTGGAGCTCTTTGTTCAGCTGGGCCTGGACGCCAAGCGCATCAACGAAAAGATCTCGGGGCTCATGAAGGTCAGGGGGGTCGTGGTGGGGGGTC